CACGCCCCGTGCTAGACTGGCAAGGTAGTTGTTGATATTCTTGAAGTTCAAGTCCTGTTCCTGAAACAGTGCGTGAAGCTCCGTCAGGGCCTTTAGGGCCGTCTCCATCTTTGGCAGTAACACCTCGAAGTGATTTGCCAGAGCTCTCTCAAGTTCGAGAGCCTTTACGACGTCGGCCATGTCTTTGTTATCTTCCACAATCTTGGCTACTAACCTATCATACTCGGCCTTTGCCTCACCCGCGTTAAATGCTTCGACGCCAGTGCCGATAAATACCCACCAGACGAAAATGCCAGCCACAGCCATGCCGATCGACCTTTTCCTGGATTTTTTCTGTTATTGTTGACAGGTTAGCCCAGATAGCTCTAGCAGGGGTAAATAACAAGGGATCGGGGCGTGGTAGACCTACCCACTCGTCATAATTTAAATTCTTGTTAATAGTGCTGAGAGTGATTTCATTTTGCAGTCGTTGGACTTCGGCCGACAGGACACTGCCGTATGGAATTTGCTCTTTACCGTCTGAAGTCAACTTTCGCTTTCCTGTAACAGGGTCGAGGGGGCCGGTGATCCAATTCTGCTTTACTATCTGTACAGCTTTGTGGTCGTTGATTGTGTTTAACAAGAACTAAGGCGGAAGCAAGTCAGCTTCAAGCAACGGCGTGACCCTCCCGGCCACATATGGTATGGGGGTTACTGACGTTGTGGAGTAAGTCTATCATCTCCTTGGTGTCTTTGGCATTATCCTGTGCCGACTCTCGCAGACCCATGACTGCTAACTGTGCCGTTTCCAAAGCTTCCTCGTACGCCCTGTCCTTGTCCGACTCTTGATACTTTTTGTCCAAGAGAACTTGGAGAGCGTCATAGAGGCTAATATCCTTCTTTTCTTTAAGGAGTCCTACGGCATATTCGGCAAAAGAGACGGCTCCATTCGCAGCAATTGCTGGCCAAAGTTTCACTAATGTTAGCATCGGTGGCCTATCTCTCCTGGAGACCGGACGAGCGAAGGAACCTACTCAGTCTTCCCAGTCCCGTCTTGTTGAAGTCTTTACAATGCAGGGCAATGTTGATAGTCGTATCACGGAGTTGCTAGAGTAGGTTAGTACGAAAAGCAGGCCGACGGAAAGAGAAGGGGGGGTGCGCTTAGGGAGTCACTCACGTCATAGGCACCCGCATCTATGTCGTGTACCTTGGCGAAGGACTTCCGGGCGTAGGTTTTCTCGAAATTTTCAACGGAATCTTCAAATTTGATGCCTTCGGTAACGTATAGATACAAGTCTGCTCGCGCGTCAATGATGGCTATTCGTAGCTGAAATTGTTTATCCCAGGGTTCAGGAGTTTACCCTGGTATCCATGAGTCTGAAGAATGAAGCGGTTCGACTGCCCGTCCGGAGATCGCGTTATGACACTTTTGGGCGAGGTGACGAGTACAGTCTCCAGAGCGGCCTTCAGCTTCACGTCATTCTCCGACTCCGGTGTCCACTCCTTATCGCCGTTCGTCTCGATGGTAGTGGTAGCCATGATGCCAAACGAAAGGATTGGATTTCCAGCGTCTTCCTAGTAGCGAGGGGGAATGGTGAATGGGGGGTGTTGGCTTGTATTCTGCCAAGATGAAGCTCGAGCAAGACGAGAGGAAGAAGGTGAGCATGCGCAATTTATACACTTTACACAGACACACGCTTATACTGTACAACTAGACGGCCGCGCAGCAAGCACTCATGATGTCAAGCAGCGTCATATCAAAGACATACCTACCCGGTTTTTCTCGGCTGCAGACATACGTAGATATCTGCAACAACTCAATAGTCTCAAGACGATCAAGCATCCGAATGGAGACGGGTAGTATTGGGAAAGAACATGGCGGCGCGGAAATGTAACTCATCGTGGACCGACAAAGACAACCACGGCTCGGATCGGGAAGTAAGACGTAAATCGACCCCACCAAAAAAGTTCAAGGACGGTTGGAGGTTTGTGGAGCCGAACATCTATAGGCTAGTGCCCGGATTCGAGCACGCATGCGGCGGCATCATTCAACTGCAAATTTCCACCAAGGGAGAGATCAGCGTGCCAAGACCTGGCAGCCAGTAACTGGGAAGCCACTCAACTGACGTTAGGGATTTTTTGGTTATATGACAACATGATGAAGAAAAAGGAATAAATATTTATATAAAGTAGGCAAGGAGTGCCTTGAGCAAGTGGTTTGGGTATTTCCACAAGTCCACTACCAACAGTCTGTTTTCAAGACCCCCTGAACACGATCTTCTGCTTATTTGTACGAACTCAATTCTGTTTCCCTCAATATGCCTACAGAGTTTCACATCGCCATCATCAGCAATGATGACGCTCTATTCCCTTCATTCTCAAGCAAACAGTTGCACGAAGGCGATACTAAAAAGATACAGCTGGCCGATATTCGAAGATATGCATCAGTGTAAGTGGAGACGGCGCCATTCCAAACATGCTTTATGCTCACTTCTGCACCGAGCTTCACAGCCCCAGCAAGCTCAGATTCACGGCGGACGGCAAGACCGTCGTTGGCGAGGATACTACGTTGGCGTACTACATGGGCTTGAAAGGAGAAGTACATTTTCACCTGTTTCTCCTTTGGGCAAACACATACTGACGGACAATTAGGTCGTCGACGATGCTTCCAGCAGCCCGAATGAAAAAGAAAAGGAAGTGAGGTCGGATGATGCAGCCGATACGACCCCGTCTGATGGAAAGGAGAAAGACTCGTCGCCCAGCACCAGTTCCGGAAAGATCAAGACATTTCAGGTTGACCTTATCTCAAACAAGGCCGGTGGTACTGGCGCGATAAAGAAAAACCCAACCGTCGACCCGGCCAAGATACAGGAAAATGTCGACAAGATCATGGATAGCATGAAGACGGATGGCGGGGTGAAGGTGGGCGACCTAACCAGACTTTCGGAAAGTTTGGGGGCTCTCAAGGCCGATTCTATGAATTTTGCTGGCGAAACCTCGTGAGTTTTGTTCCTTTTATCTTATCCATATTTGACTAAATATAAAGAGTGGCTGACCCAATAACAGAAAGATCGTCTATCCCGAGCCGCTCGATCTTACCGAGTTGCAGTGGGATGTGGTATTTAGGAACAACCGTGCCCTGCATGGTTGGTATCACAATGGGGACCTATTGGTCAAGGCTAGAAAGAGAGGTACGGTATTCTCTACAGGATGCTCTCTCCCTCTTTACAAAGGCCTGCCTATACATGGCTTCTTGCTAACAAAAAACAGCCTTTCAGCTCAAGCCAGCTCCGAATCAAGCTCAGGCTCAGGCTCAGGCTCGCAAAGAACCCAACACTGACAAGGATGGAAAGACGGAAATAGAAGGAAAAGGAAAGGAGACGACACCTCTCAAGGTAATAAATACCCTACACCCCCACTCTCACCCGACATGAGAGACATGCACATCTAGAGGAAGGGAAACTGACGCAATACAACCAGACCGATCCTATACCATCCGCCCCACCCTTCTATGTATGGGATGACGCTACCGTCCAGGTCACAGAAATGAAAAGCGCGCTGGAGAAGACCATGGCGAGCCAGGGCTTTAGCTCTACTGTGATCAAAGCGTCAGCGTAAGTGGCCAGACCTGTGGTGGTGGGAGAAGGATCAGATACTAATAGAAAATGGTAGTGGTGGCGGAGTAATGGGAACTGAGGCTACCGCCTCGCTCGCAATCGAAAAAGAGCATTCAAATGCAAACAAGGAACTAAAAGCGTCGCAAGTCAGCGAGTTGAACGTGTCATACAAGGTACGGAGACAGAAACAGGTCGTCGTTGAGTGTGCCGTAAACTAACCTTTTCCAATCACCAGTTTCCAAGGGCGGCGGTCGAGCTTGACACCTACTGTCTAGAATTGACAGAAGAGGCCAAACGAGACGCCTTGGCCTGTCGCAATAGAGCCGACGTCGGACGATGGCAACGAGATTACGGTAAGGGCTGCCTTGCTACCAAACCTACGTCACCCTGTCTCTCTCTCACCGGCCTTCCTTCTGACATCACACAATAGGCAGCGTCTTCGCCACGCAATTCACACTTGGGGGTGAACTTGTCAGCTCCCGCCTCTTCAGCGGCACCGACGAGGGCCGACTATCCGCTCTCAAAGACAGTACCAAGATAGCCGCAGGTGCGAGCTTGACAACCCCGTATGGTTCAGCCAGTGCCAGCTACGGCTCCACAAATTCAACCGAATCGCAAGAGGGCGAGAGGAGCACACAGCAAAGCCTCCGACTGGCCTGGGAGGCTCGTGGAGGAAATACGCTTCTCTGTTCCAAGTAAGTGACAGACAAAACTTCTCCACTCAATCTTTCTTCTCCTTTCGGATACTGATCTAGCTTTTTCAGTCCTCCAGCATGGACGAGTACCGTAAAAGACCACCGTCTCTGGCGCATCATGGACGTGAGTAATCACTTCTTTACCTTTCTTTCTTTTTTTTTTTTTTGGGAACCATACCTATCAAACCGAGGAGCCTGAACTGACCAAGAAAACCTTCCTACACAGCAACAAGGAATAGTCCGCATGATCGATTTTGTAAAATCCGTCCATCCCAAAGCTGGCTCCTTCCTACAAAGCCCCGAATTCAGCACCGATCGAGAATCCGATCCAAGCAAAGCCGCGAGCCAAGCCTTCAATCTTCTCAACTCGGCTCTAGAGTCCAAAGAGAGGAACCCGACGGTAGATAAACTGAAGGCGTTTTACGAAAGTGCCAATTTTGTCATTGGCGAATTCAACGATTCGCTCGCCAAGGACCAGAAACCCTTGGAGCTGAAGATGAAGACGGCTTGGGCGAAACTGACTTTTGAGCAGAAGATTACTATTGGCATGTTTGCGTGGGATAAGAAGGTTATTAACTTTGACTAGATTTACCTACCGTACCTTGGATGGAAAACCATGCAGTTGAACTTGTATTATGTTGTTAGGACAGACTCATACCACCGACTACGCACTTAAACCGCTTTGTGCCCAATGACATTCAACAAATCAGGTGGTATCGTATAGTGGTTAGTACGGTTCGTTGTGGCCGAACAAACGCCGGTTCGATTCCGGCTACCGCCAGATAAAATCTCATATGATGTCTTTAACCAACATCAAATCATCTTTTTTCTTGCTCTTTCATTCCACTTCCACATACAGACAGAATTTAGAGACGGTCTATACATTTTTTTTTCTATGTTTTGTATTGTTTATACTACGTGTATGCTTTTGTAAGTGTATTTGTACAACATGTTATAACTTTTGCTGTTTTAGAAGCGGGGTGATGGCCCCCTCCCCCTTTTGCCCCTCTTAATATCTTGGCACTCATATATCTACCCTGTTTACGTGTACGTGTACTATTATCATGACACCCGTGACCTAACACACTAGAGACAAGTAGACCACACTGGCCGATCTAATAATAGGATTACTAAATCAAATATCCTATCTTCCTTTGCACGTTGCAGATCTATAGTTATCTCCTGGGAGAGACGAAACACGCGGTTTGAAATATTTTAAAGTGGAGAGAAAATATTGTACAAGGCTCAATTCATATGTTAACCCAGTGGCCTGTACGGGGGAGCGCTGCTACCTGGGAACGTGGGCTCACGATGAAGGCATGTTCCGCGGGTAAGTCAACATTGATATCACTAAGGATAGCAGAGTCTAGACATTCGAGGAAGTATAGGGTTTGAGCAACAAATCTCATCTAAACAATAACCTATTTACCGAAACGCCGGGGTTTCCACTCAAAACATACTTTCGTGGTATAGCTTTGCTCTGGGCAACAATACTCAAAAACATTGACCACTAGGACATATTTGTGCTGCTTAAGATTTCCATTCAACTATCAAGATACCACGGACATCCTTACACAAGCATAGGGCTCTTGGTATATGGAGAAAGACACGGTTTGATTTGATTGCTTGGTATCGGTCTGGTTTGAATGTAGACCCTCTACTACCCGGCTACAGACCGTGCCGCTCTCGTGGGAACACTTATCGCACTCAACGAAAATACCAAGTAATCCATCCTATAGGGGCATTCCTGTTACGTGAGGCAAGACAACACCAGAAACCACCCATTCGTCGGTTCCTGAGAGGAGGCTCCAATGTAGTATCATCCATGTATCCTGCCATCCAGTTCCACACGCGTGAAACACAACTGCCTCGGTGTTAGGGGAGTGGCCTAGTCCGTGTTTCATCTGGGATGCAATTGCTATCGGGCTACTAGGGCGCACTCTGTGGCATGGGGACGAACGGATATGACTCAACGCTGGTGGGAGAAGGGTCTCGGTAGGCTTCGATGTCGTACCATCCATCGTAAAGGACCTCAGGACAGAACCAGCTGTCTTGAAGACCACCTCCATAGTCGCAATACCGGGAACAGGGACATAAGACGTGCATACCATGCCGTGACTGTCCAAGACTGTCCTCGACATTGTCCATTTGCCACCTTGAAGGCAATATGCGTTAATGGCATTTCTGACAGGTACAAGTGCGGTTAATGGTTTCGATTCCAGCTTATAGAGACAAGCAGGCCCCATAGCATCCGATGTTATAACGTCTGCCTTTTTCCATTGGTATCGATCGGCCAGTAGGTTTTTGCCTACGGTGTTCAAGAGGCAACGGTAATGGATCAAGTCTCCCCCCAAAGCAAGGACGGTGGTCTCGAGACTGACACCGCCATTTGACGGCATTTGAAGGAGAGGAGAGGCGTCCCTCGTAACTGTTAAATAACTAGGGGTCACTAAGGTAAGTATTAGTCTACGTAGCCCCTTCTTGAATGGAACGAAGATTCCGAGGGTAGAGCGGAAAGAGGAATCAGAAGCGACACGGGCGACAGTGCCCGATTTGTAAGACTTACCACCCGGAGAAGCTTTGGACTCTTCAATGACATTAACGCTAGCCGAAAGTCGCCAAACAAACACTCCATCATCTTGGGAAACCAGGTTATCTCGTGTGTAATGCTTCAAGATACCGTCAGATTCAAGAACGAGGACCTCAAACTCGCCGTGGATCTGATCTGGATGTCGCTTTACCAAATTCTCGATGATGGAACCCCCAGAGATGGGGTTTTCAGATATGATTGCCGAGGTGTTCCATTGGCCCGTCTTCCTGTCTCGGGAGAAGTGTATCAACTTGCGTCTGTTATCACCTCTGAACCCGGAAACGTTGATGACTGCCTCGAGATTGCCATACGAAGACTGACAGAGACGATTCATCGCGACTTCAGATTTGCGAGGTCATGAGAGTCTAAAATATGGAGTACGATCAGAATAGATTGCCTTGTCTGGGAATGGTGTAGAAGGCGATAATGCGAAAAGGATAGAAGGTGAGATCTTCCACTTGATTGAGGTTAGGTACGCCCCCAAGGTACGCTCCTAAGGTACGGACCATTTAGGTATACTTGTGGGATGAATTGCTTGGGTCGTTTTAGTCAATACGAGCCGTACCTACCTCAATCTATATCGTGCCTACTCTATGACCCGCTGTGCAAATCTATATCTACGCACATGTAGGTTCTTTCTAAGGCATGTACGCACCGCCTCCTACACCTGCATTATGTATACACGTATGTAGGTATATGTACATACTTACATCATTTACACAGTGACATGTAGCGTAGAACATCAAACCTGTACCGATTAGTAAATTAAATATTTAGCACTTCAAGATGGCGCATTAACTGCTACCAATATGTGTTTGGTGCAAGTAAAAATGCCATCGAAAGCAAGGTAGTCACTGCGTGTTCGGGTATGGCAAATCCCCTCGTTGAGCCGCCGATAACAAGAGAATGCCGGACAAGGAAGGTCAGGTCTGGGGTGACTACGTCTTAAACATCATTGGCAACACCAGATGGATGAGTCTAAAAAATCCTTTTAAAAGCCGGTATCTACTTCTCTTCCTTTCCTTTGCGATTGCCCTCAATTGCCCCTTCTCAAGCAAAGGTACCTCAAGACAGTAAAGGAGTCTAACAGGACGTGGCGGCATATTATAAACCCTACTACACTTGGATAACAACGGTTCCAAAAACAGCATCATCAGGAGGGCAGCGGAACAGTTAAAAAGATGGAAAAGGAATGATACCGACTGCAAGGACATGTCGCTTTATTCTGCAACAACCAAAAAAAAAGCAAAAATGAGATGAAATTGTAGGTCTCCCTGGGAATCGAACCCAGATTAGTGGAATCAGAATCCACTGTGATAACCATTACACTAGGAAACCAGGTATTGTATGTAAAGATGAGAGATTTTGGGGTTTATACAGATAAATTTGCACTCTAGTCACGTGAGCTCCATTATCTGGCTTTTGTGTCTGTGGTGGTACAAGTAATCAGGTCTCCCACTCTGGCCTGTTGTCCTCACCAATCTTATTGGCACCTGGAATGTAGAAGAACAAGACATCACCTGTGCTACCCACAATGCAACACTGAACAATTTGTTTGAAACGACTGTGTTTCTGGTTATGACCATGTGGCCTAATGGATGAAGTATCCACCGCAACGGTACCGCGTTGCATCCGTGACACCATTGAAGATTGATTGGTGGCCCCATTTATGAGCGACACGATGTAAGAATTTATTAGTTCGACAAGCAGGGTTCCTGCGTACATTCGGCCTTGGTAACACATTCTACGAATTAGTCTGCTACTTGGAAAGATATTTCTTGGCTCAATGAAAACAAATCTAGCCCTGGCTATACCTGTCCCCCCTTGGACTCTCGAAATTCTCAAGATGCCAATTGCGGGGTATTCCCCATGTGCGCATGGACTTGGTGTTTGCAGGTACTCGTACATTATCTTAGCAATTTGGTGGGGTCAAAACAGCCCCCGAAGATAAGGAAGCATCGGCTCCAGCAGCCAACGGGATAAATAGAATTGTTTATTGCTGAGCTATGTATCTTCCGATTCGGAAATGTGGTGTGAAACATCCTCTTTCTTACAATTCCACCTAAAAGGTGAGGAAAGAGCCACCGTTTGCTAGACATTGTGAGAAAGAACTGGCGGATTAGTCAGGATGCATCTTGTACCGAAAGAGGTCCGTAGTTGGTCCCCTCCCCTCAATTGTCCCCGTCTCGTCTCCACCAGCCAGCCAAAGCCGCATCTCGGCACTGCCTAGGTGTGTCTTGGGAGAGACGTCAAACCGGGAATGACACGGCTGTGATGTGGGTGGTGAAGGCAGATATAAAGATTAAATATTAACTATTCAAACTCTGCCGTGTAGCTCGATAAGCTCGTCATATCCCAATTGGGACTACTTGCGCAGAGACGTCTTGCGCGAGGAGTCAAGCTCAACCATACAGAAGCCACGGTGAGTTTCCCGTTACCTAAATTTTACCTCGCAACAGCGACAGAAGGCCAGTCACGTTATTTTTTCATCACACTGATCCGCACGTCTTGGCTATCAGTCCTGTAACGTGGGACAAGGCTAATGCGAGACACACTTTGTGTCTAACCCCTAGGCCCTTATCGCCAACAACCTGCAAGAATTGATCCGCGATGGACAACACACCGTGGCCGACCTTATGGGGATCGGCTCCACCATGCTCGGCCGGCGCCACGTGCTGCCCTCCGTCGTGCACACGCTACACGAGATCCAGGTCGAGGGAACCTTCCCTACGGGCACGTACCTGGTGACGGTACACAACCCCATTGCCACAGACGACGGCGATCTTGAGCGCGCGCTTTACGGAAGCTTCCTGCCGGTGCCGTCCCAGGACCTCTTCCCTCCGGCGGAGGCATCTGCATACGATGCCGCCAACGCGCCCGGTGCTGTAGTGGCTGTTAAAGGGCGCGTCCAAATCAACGAGGGCCGTCGCCGTATCAAGCTGAGCGTTACCAGCACAGGCGATCGTCCAATCCAGGTAGGTAGTCATTACCACTTTGTCGAGACGAATGCGCACCTCTCATTCGACCGCGCCGCTGCGTACGGGTTCCGTCTAGACATTCCCGCCGGCACATCTGTGCGCTTCGAACCCGGTGACACGAAGGCTGTCACACTCGTCGAGATCGGTGGACGGCGCGTCATTCGCGGTGGGAATAATCTTGCATCCGGCGTGGTGGACGCCAGTCGCGTCGAT